GAGCCAATCTATTTCCTGCACTTCAAGAAGAATCAAAATGTTCCTGAATTTCAAATACCTCATGCAAAAATGTCTCCTGAAATAAGGGAAGGAAAAAAAAACACAAACTTTGAAAATCTTAATGTTGACGTTAGTGATACCGAAAGGTTTCTGTCTTAAAAAAAAAAAAATCCTTATGAATTTTGCCCCTCAGGCGGTCAGTTCTGTGGAGAACTGTGTTCTGCGTTACCTCTTAGCTCTCAAGGCGGCTTTACCTCCAGATCCTGTAGAGTTAGAGTTAACTTTTTTCTTTGCAGCAGAACTCCATTTTGATGAAAGATGAATTTGGATATTAATTTCCTCTTCTTTTTGGGAAACGAGCGGTTACAACCGAGACAGCTGAAGGAGAATCTCACACACACGCACCCACGGAAACAGCAGGGTCCTCTCTGGACAGGTAAGGGGAGCCGACGTGGCTGAGGACGACTGAGGACGACATCAGCGATGCTGAGGCTGTCATTTGTTTTTCTCTGAAGTGCCTGAAGGTAGGAATGGGCCAGGGGTCAGGGCCGACCGGGCACGGCCACGGCCACGGCCACGCCAGGCAGACTGCCCGCGGCCCTGCTCTCCATCCACGCTGGCCAGGAAGGCCCTCCACGCGGGATGACGAGACTGCAAAAATCCAGACGTGCTTCCTTCCCCGCCGCGGCCGCCCCCCGGAGCCGCTGCTCCCCACCCCGTCCTCCCACCACAGAACCTAAGACCTTTCAGCGGCCGAGCCAGGGGCGGGGGTCCTAAGCGAATGCCTTCCGTGGACACCGAGGCCCCGCGGCCTAAAGGGCTCCCAGGGCAAACTTATTCCCCCAAAAACTTGAATTTGGGGATGCTGCAGCTACACATTCCACAAAGTGCTGGCACTTACACCCATAACCCGAAGGCAGTAGACCGACGTGTAGGGTGGTGACCTCCCATTACGAACGACGTCATGGTTTGGAATGTTCGTTATCGGCAAGAACCTGGTTGGAGGTATAAAGACCTTTTTTTCACCGTTACCTAATTTTTTTTTTCTTACGACTTTTTTTTTTTTTTGGTGTGTTGTACAGCAGTATAATTTTTCACTTATTTATTCCATCAGTAGATATGGTTTGTACAATGTACAATGGTTCCATTTCAGAAAATAAAAAAAAAATTTCAAATGAACACCATGTGATATTGTAGCATTACAATAAAAGCAAAACCCGGTGGTTGGTGAGAAGGTACCCCACTGCAGCTCTGGCCCCTCCTGCACCGGGCGTGTGGCCCTGACTTTGTGCAGGACTTGCTCACAGGGATGGTTGCCTCCCATGGTCATGAGAGCTGCATTCATTATGCACCAGCTGGATACTGTGGGCGGGTGGTGTTGGCCTGGGTCCTGGCTGAGGACGCCAGTTTGCCGCGTCCCTGACTTTGGGAGGCTCTGGTCCGTGGCAGAGACTCTGAGGGGTCAGCCCACAGGTGAATTGCAACTTTGTCTTGACTTGTCTTAGCTCGTGGTCAGGCTGGAGCCAGAACCATCTGGGGCCCTTTTCCCCCAGCAACTTGGGCAGTTCTCTCCCTCTCAGATCAGACTCCCTCCCCGAGTGGAGTTTTTTCTTTTTCCCTGTCCAGTCTCACTTCCTCCTCCTCTCGTACCTTAAACCCGGCCCTGGGTGAGCCACCGACGGGGGCAGTGGGTGTGGGATGATTGTTCTAGCGAAGCCTGTACCAAACCTCACCCCACTGACCGACCTGGAGGCAAACGTTCTCTCCTTTTTTTTTCGTCTGACTCTCCTCCCCACTCTGTTCCTTTTTAACGTGTTTCGTGGTTTTTACCAGGATTAGTTGCTCAGCGAAATAAAACTCCTGATATGGAAAGAACAAACCATTAAGGTCTTGTTTGCTTAACAGCAACAGCAAAAGCCTGAGTGGGCAGGCTCACTCTCTCCTGTGCACCCTGTGGTCTGTCCCCAGGTCTCAGTCTCTGGGTGAAGGTCCCTTCCTTCCAGACCTGTCTCTGGATCGCTCCCTTACTCTCCCACTCTTGTCTCCACCCCCTGGATCTCTGTCTCAGGCGTTCTGTTTTATATGCTCTGTCTCTTCCAGGGGACTGTGCGGAGCTGTGAGAGCTGCTTCATCAAGGAGCAGTCATGCCCAAGGATGGGAAATGTTGGCTTTACTGGCAGTCACTGGGCACCACCTGTGTGCTGGGCCCTGGGCGGCAGTGACTCAGACTTGACCCTTTCCCTCCAGGCAGATAAGCAGGTGCGCTAGGATGCCAACACAGTTCGGAGTTAGGGGAGAGATGTGTTTTGATGGTAGGGGTCAAGGAGGCTTCTAGGATGGTGGAGGAAGCCGAAGCGTGGGGCTGAGAGGCTCACTTTTCCTTTTTGGTGCTAAGGAGTGGCTGGAGGTTTCTGAGCCAGGACTGTGCTGGACTGGGGGCAGTGTTGCCAGTGAATGGCACGGGTTGGAAAAAGCCAGACTGGAGGTGGGGGCAGGGCCACTATGGAACTGGACATTAGGTCAAGCGGGAGGCCAGGAGTTGGCAAGAGGGCCCGTGTGCCCCCAGGTAATGTGAAGGTAACCAGTACTGCAGCCAGGTGGAATGGGGACAGGTTGGGGCGAGGAAGGCAGGCAGAGAAAGCTCTGGTTCAGGTCCAAGTCTGGACCAAGGCAACAAGTGTCATGGAAGTCCATGGTTCGGCTGAGGAGGGATTGCAGATCCTAAAAGCCAAGTTTACCCCCCACCTGCCTGGTGATGAACTGCATACTTCCCTCCAGGGGCTCACAGTAGCTGCTGGCTGCCTTTGCCAGTTGTATCCCCTCTCCTTCCATTAGGGGTCTCCCTCACCCACTCTCAGTCCCAAGGGTGGCCATGTGACCCAGGTCCCTCCCTCTGGCAACAGAAATTGGTATAGGAATCATCACATGACCCACAATGACCCAATAAGAGTCGGCCCTGAGATTTTTGTGGGAACTGTTGGGAAAGAGTTCTGCTAGAGTGCTGGCTGGAGTTGTTAATGGAGCTGCTGGGGCCACCTTCACTCCAAGGTGGGGAGAAGCCTGCCTGAGAATGAAGCCAGCACAGGAGAGTGCTGAAAGACGGTGAGTGTGAGCTTCCTGAGACAGCGTCTGAGCACGTGGTCCCAGCTAGCCCTGAAACCAGCTTTTCAGTTTCATGAGCCGATGAAAGTCCGTGATCGTTTAGGTCAGGTTTCCCTGGGTCTTTCCGCATCTGAGCCCCTACCCCTCCATCCAAGGGCTTGGAATGCCCCCTGGACAAATCCAGAAGGAGGGCTGTTTGCTAGTAGAGTAGCTCTGGCTCCTGACAGGGTATCCTTCTCTTAGAAGGAGTGTGTCTTTTCTCCAAACTTTGCCTTTTCAGTGCTCCCATGTGACAAACTTGGACGTTTTGCAGCTGAGGACAAGGAAATAAGCAGAAACTAACATGAACCCGTTTT